AGCAGACTTGGGTAGCAGACTACAAGTTTTGAACGAATAAGGAAGAAAAAAAAACACACTACAACCTAACCAACGACAATCCCAAGCTTGGACGTGGATATCTGTGATCAGTCTGCTTGGGTGCAATAATTAAAAAAGAGTGGAACGCGCTCGCATCACCTTCTCATTCGCTTCTCGTGCTCTCCCTGCCAGTGAGCAGGAACTGCGGAGCACCTGGCCTAATCAGTAGCGTGTATGGCTCGCAACCGAAGGGTTTGTGGGTTCGAATCACGCCTAGAGTTCTTATATTTTCCTTTAAGCTAATAAAATTACTTTATAAAGTAAAATATTTTGAAACATGCGGCTACCTTTAATTCGCATTACCTGGGACGCTTTCATCCCTTTCATTCCACGCATGATCATTCACGTGAAAGTTTGGGTTGTTTGAAATTCCCGCACGAGGTCATGTGGCAGTGACGTCATGACTCTATCGACCAATCGGATTTTCCCGTCACAACGCCACCGACGCCGGCTTTCCTCGACACGAGCTCCTTAAGGCTTTCGCGTTAAAAGGAGGACGCCCAACCCAGCCCTAACTGGCAACCCAACGTTTCGAGGCCAAGTCCGCTCTTCTTTAGGTGTGACTGTGGCGATGGCCGTTGTGTTTTCGTCTTCATTGACGGTGGTGCATTTTTTTTTTTTAGTTGGCAATGCCTCAAAACCCGTGGACATAGGCGGACGTTAAAGTGCCGTTATATTTTTTGTCGTACTTTATGTGCAACCCACCAATTAATCAACCAATCACCGACAGAGACTCGTCTTGGAATCTTGGAATTCCCACCGCTCTTTCGCGTATTCTTTCGGTATTGGTACTGCATCGTGCTTTGAATACTTAATGGTATTCAAAGCATTGGAGGCTAGAAAATATTAATCGGAAGAGTCTTGGAAACATTGCGAGCGTAGCTTAGGATAGCGCGGAGCAGGATTAGTTATCGTCTTAATTATAACAACAGCTATGACATATGTTAATGATCGGCACGCCGCTCTATAAACCTCTTTCAAAAACCCACGCCATTGCCTCTCTGCCATACATGGGAAAATTACTTCCCAAATGCAATTTAATTACCATTACAATTACTTTGCTTCAACAATACTTTTAGTACAATTACAATTACTACTACGCGAAAAAAATTAATTTGAATTACAAATTACTTTAAAAAATGCAATTACTTTACAATTACTTATTTCTGAGAGCAACCCAACTTGGGTCACAATTTTAAACGAGTTGCATCACAACTCGTTGAACAACTCGAGAATGCAATACATTTCTTCACTCCTTGCCCAATTTTTGAGGAGGCTTAAGCATCGCTGCATAAATGTCACGTATTGTACTTTCCTTTTATGAATTTTTTAAAAAGTTATGATAGAACTTGACAGTTTCGGGCAATAAAGTACTACGTGCTTATATTTTAATAAATATGATTAAATTAGTTTGTATGCTGGAAGACGCCAGATTGCTAAAAAAATTGGGTTTACAGACTTTCGTTAGCCATGCAAATAAAAATGCGACAATTAGTCATATAGGAATATCTTACAAGTGGTAATATTAAACTAGAATCCAAACTTCCTAATACGACCACATTTACATGGAAACATCATGTTATTGTAAATTACTTATATTAGGTAGAAATTAGAATGGCCCCAAAATATACACTCTAAAAAATGCCTGCGCGTCTACTTACCCGCAAAACGCTCAAAGAGCCAATCTCTGCAATCTACAAAATCAGCTCAGCGAATGATGAGGCGGAACATCCGTTTAGACCTAAAAATTGAAGTCTGCTCTGTGGCATTAGGAAACGCAAAGCGTCATGGTTGCATTGCGTAATGCCACAGCGCAGATTTCATTCTGAGGTTGCAAGAACCCGTCAAATAATATCCCTATGTAATGCCCGAAACGGCCTTTAGGGTAAATGAATGAATAAATAAAGGTTCAGCATTGATAAAAAATGGTGCTAAATTAACTGATGCAGAAGGTATTCTCACGTGTTCGCTAAAGACTAACGTCTTCTGTATTCTAAGTCTTACATTTTACCATTCTTCATCAAATTTTATCATGCTTAGTTTCAACACTACGCATTTGATTACCTCTACCCATTTTGAAGGCACCAGCTATAGTGCGCCATTTAGGTGAAATGTCTGACTGATACTGAAGGAAGTTCTAGTTCGTATATATTTATAATGGTCGACGAATTAACGCGTTAAGAAGTAAACCACACGTGGAGTTCTACAGTTTGAAATTTGTATTCCGGGGATATAGTAGATACACTAAATGTCGTGCTCATTAGGAAATAAACACTCCACGTTTTTTATGAATGTAAATCTTTGCCTAATGTTTCGATCAAATATTACATTGTGCAGTATAATTATATTTTCTCGTTTGTCTTAGAAAGTTAAGGTTGTGCGTATTTTGGGGAATTTTTGTCGGAAATCTCTCTAGTAGAGTTATGCAACTCGGCGGTGTTTTTTTATTTATGCTCTGTACTGATATACTCACATGACCTTGCTGAAATGGCTCCCAAGAAAAGGTTGCCTGATTAAAAAGAAAGTAGTAGCTTCCTAGATCTTATGACAAAAAAAATGAAGCCTAGAGGAGTTTTAGAGTGCCTAAAACGGCGTTATATACTTCTCTTTGGCAATAAGGGTTCCATGTTCCAATTATATCCTAGAAAAGCAAACTTTTTGAATCATCTCAGTTATAAATTTTTATTATTGTACTTTATACTTAAAATATTGGTTTAAATTGTTTCTTAGTTTGAGCAGGCCACTGAGAAATCAAAGCAAGGAGTATTTTAGCAACATGTTTGTGGGACGATATAAATTTACCCAACAACATACATTACTTGCGGAGTGATGTTGACAAAACTGCCGAAACTACAGTTTGTACAATCGTTGTGCTAAACGTGTTCGTTTTTATTTTTTCTTCTGTGAAGCATGAAACCCTGAAGTATTGTAAACTGCCACTTAGTAGCTTTGTTGTATGAAAAATGATGAATGTAAGGCTTAGTTTAATGTCATGTGAATTAAAACCTATAATTTTAAGATAACCGAAATGCGCTGAGAATGTCTACATTTCTATGCTGTTTCTGGAAAATCTACATCTTCCGCAGGCTTCACTAAGTGGGAGCTTATTAGGTATTGATGAGCATCAGCTCCGCTTCCGCCGTTATTCAACATAATACTTACGGTTCTGAGCAGCTTGCTTTATAAAAAAATATATAAACGAATCAACGACCCAGAGACGCTATATTTTTGTTGTTGCTGTAGTGCTTTATTGCTCGACAAGGTGAACTCATTCTTGACCCGCGAATCTGAGCCCAACGTTAAGCACAATACTCTCGATCTGCCTCGTTTGGCGCGACGCAATTGTGGGACTGTGTGTTCCACACATTTCCTGGCTTGCACCGGCGCTGTTGTGTTTCTCCGTTATTGCACACGTAGAATCTGATAGGGAAAAGGGCAGTGTAATGCTGTTAGATTGTACAATGACAGCCTCCTCAAACACTGTCATGAGCGCTTTTACTCAAGTGAATTTTACATCAATCGTCATTCAAAGCATAACGGGACTCGGGGGGAATAATAAATTTACTAAGAATTGCTGTTTAAAACCTTTCTGGTAGTCCTGTTAGCAATAAAAGTTGATTGACAGTTAACTTTGTTTCAAAATTGCAATTGCAAAAAATAGACGCTCGGATATTAAGGAAATAACAGTTTTGGAAATACTTCAATCTTAAACTCGATCCTCAGTGCTGCTAATTGGGCGTTTATCTACATCAAACCTATATAAATTAGACGTTCGAATTTGTTCAAATGAATTTTCTAGATATATAAAGATTTGTGCGCCTAAAAAATTAAAATGTACAGCTTCTATAACACAACAAAATACTCTTTTTCAGCCTAGGATGCGACATCGGGCAGAATATTTTCAGACTCACCAGAACAGTGCTCGAAATTGAACGGCGTTTTGTAATAACGCTTTGTGAACTGGGGTTGCGTGGTAGGTTATTGCACATGCGAGGTTATTCGCATCTATAACCTTATGCATTAAATTTTTTTCGTCTGTTTTAAGTTTTGGCTGCCCGGTCATGTGTGTTATTGACACCGTTGACGGGTAAGCGCTTTCTTTTACAGTCCTGGACAGCCTGAGAAACGGAGCGCGTGGCTTAAAATATTCACGCTTCTTGGTTCGTCCCTTGGCGTTCGTATCGGCTAACGCCCCAAGCTCATTGGCTGCAGTGCAATAATCAGATGCTCGGAACCCTCTTGCGTTTCTTAAACTGTCGCTGACTCTATGCAGTACACCCTAAGAAATACCTGCGCGTCTAGTTACCCACAAATCACTCAAAGAGCCAATCTCTGCGATCTACGAAGTCAGCTGAGCGAATGATGAGGCGGAACATCCGCTTAGACCCCAAAATGAAGTCTGCGCTGCAGCATCACGCAATGCAAGCATGACGCTTTGCATTGCGTAATATCACAGCACAGACTTCATTTTCATGTCTAAACGGACGTTCCGCCTCATCATTCGCTCAGCTGATTACGTAGATCGCAGAGATTGGCTCTTTGAGTGATTTGCGGGTAAGTAGACGCGCAGGCATTTCTTGAAGTGTATCGCACTCTAAAAAATGACCGTGCGTCTGCTTTCCCGCACACCACTTGGAGAGCCAATCACCGCAACTTACGGAGGCAGCTCAGCGAATGACGATGCCGAAACAAATGTTCAGACGAAAAAACGCTGTTTGAGTTGTGATATTAAGCAATGCAAAACGTCACGCTTGCATTGCTTAATGTCACAACTCAGTCTGAGTTTTTTGGTCTAAACATATGTTTCGGCATCGTCATTCGCTGAGCTACCTCCGTGAGTTGCGCTGATTGGCTCTCCAAGTGGTGTGCGGGAAAGCAGACGCACAGGCATTTTTTTAGAGTGCGTTGCCTGTTTCGAATGAGAGAGGCAAAACGATACTTTACGCTCCGCAGTCCTTCGGGTTCTCTTTTGGAAATGCGCTTCCGACGGTACATTTCTCTGGTGTTAATAAGTTTATGTCGAAATTATAGCAGTTCTCCTTGAAGACAAATGTCGAGACGTCGTAGTCCCCCAGTAGGGTGTCGATGGCCGTCAACATGGGATACTTGGGGCCGCAATCGCCCCTGTAGTCGTCCAAGTCGAGGGACCACAGAAACACGCCTCCCAGTCGGTTTCCCTTGACGAACGATATCTGCAAGAAGCACGAGAGTTCACGATAATGGGTGGCAGAAAGATGTAGGTACGACAAGCGGCACCTCCGCAAAACTCTGATTCAACATTCAGCGAGAAACATTGCTGATTACAAGTACAAGTATTTAATGAGTATGAGAGGGGAGGCAACAAACTCCGGATATGAATTAATCGACAGTTTTAGTTTAGCGTTGCTGGATCTTACGTGCACAATACGCAATAGAATCGAATACCCTAAAAACGACCTACTCAAACCAATTTTAGCTGTGTGTCACGTTGCCGAGTGAACACCTCGCTTGATCATGGTTGAAGGATTGTCCGGTCAAATTCTGTGTTCGAGAAAACAATTGAATATCAATGTTAATGCCTCGAAACGCATCGTCCTCGCAATATCAATCGTATATGCCCGTGTGCGTTATTAAGTGAATAGTAAACTGCTCCAATTGCTTACTAGCGTAATCGGTGCTTTCGTTGGCAACATCGAAGCTCTGACGTCACATAACGCAAAGCGAGCATTTCCATCTCGTCGTTTGCCAGCGCGTGAATAAAAATAATAATGATAATAATAATAATATTAATAATAATAATTATTATTATTATTATATTATTATTATTATTATTATTATTATTATGATAAACAGTTCATTTTCATTCGCCATTGCAGGTAATGATGGGACCGAGAATAAAAGCCTCGATAGACGGCTTGACAAGCTCTCGGCCCCAGCGTGCCTCATTTTTGTTGCTGAGCTTGACTTGTTTCGTGAATGGGTGAGATTTTTGTTGCGCTGTTTGGTACCACAACCACCGGGTTGTGGTACCCAACCGCGAGACGTGCGGCGACGAGCAAAATGGATCGTCGCCGTGCGTAGGGAGCACTGGGTTCCTGTCAAGATCGAGATCCCGCTTACGGAGCAATCATTTCGTGGAAGAGAGCCACGAGCTGAACTCTGAACGGGCAGAAGGCTCCTAAGTTGAGGTGTGATGCTGTGCCAACGATATTCAACTACGTCCACCCACTCCTCGCCCAAATCGGATCAATCGGTTTGATTAAGCAGCGAAACCAAAACCAACACCTAAGCCATCTTAAAACGATGACAAAAGCTATATTTGATACGCATGCGACCCGATTCTGTTTGACCCATGTGTGAAAAGGGAGCGTCGCTACGATTCACCAAGCTCGTCCAAGTCAAGCGATGATCTAAAAATGTTACATTCGTTTTGAACGATTCACCGTTTGCCTTCGACCCGCGGGCATCGCCTCCGAGGGAGCGACTCGCAGCCGCATCACCGATCCAGTGGATCCGCCGATATGTGGTCCCAGATGCCACTTCGTGGTCCCAGATGCCGCTTCGTGGTCCCAGATGCCGCTTCGTGGTACCAGATGCCGCTTCGTGGTACCAGATACCGCTTCGTGGTCCCAGATGCCGCTTCGTGGTACCAGATGCCGCTTCGTGATCCCAGATGCCGCTTCGTGGTACCAGACGCCGCTTCGTGGTACCAGATGCCGCTTCGTGGTCCCAGATGCCGCTTCGTGGTCCCAGATGCCGCTTCGTGGTCCCAGATGCCGCTTCGTGGTCCCAGATGCCGCTTCGTGGTCCAAGATGCCGCTTCGTAGTCCCAGATGCCGCTTCGTGGTCCCAGATGCCGCTTCGTGGTCCAAGATGCCGCTTCGTGGTCCCAGATGCCGCTTCGTGGTCCCAGATGCCGCTTCGTGGGCCCAGATGCCGCTTCGTGGTCCCAGATGCCGCTTCGTGGTCCCAGATGCCGCTTCGTGGTCCAAGATGCCGCTTCGTGGTCCCAGATGCCGCTTCGTGGTACCAGATACCGCTTCGTGGTCCAAGATGCCGCTTCGTGGTCCCAGATGCCGCTTCGTGGTCCAAGATGCCGCTTCGTCGTCCCAGATGCCGCTTCGTGGTCCCAGATGCCGCTTCGTGGTCCCAGATGCCGCTTCGTGGTCCCAGATGCCGCTTCGTGGTCCAAGATGCCGCTTCGTGGTTCCAGATGCCGCTTCGTAGTACCAGATTCGCTTCGTGGTCCCAGATGCCGCTTCGTGGTCCCAGATGCCGCTTCGTGGTCCCAGATGCCGCTTCGTGGTCCCAGATGCCGCTTCGTGGTCCAAGATGCCGCTTCGTAGTCCCAGATGCCGCTTCGTGGTCCCAGATGCCGCTTCGTGGTCCAAGATGCCGCTTCGTAGTCCCAGATGCCGCTTCGTGGTCCCAGATGCCGCTTCGTGGTCCAAGATGCCGCTTCGTGGTCCCAGATGCCGCTTCGTGGTCCAAGATGCCGCTTCGTAGTCCCAGATGCCGCTTCGTGGTCCCAGATGCCGCTTCGTGGTCCAAGATGCCGCTTCGTGGTACCAGATGCCGCTTCGTGGTCCCAGATCCCGCTTTGTGGTCCCAGATGCCGCTTCGTGGTCCCAGATGCCGCTTCGTGGTCGCAGATGCCGCTTCGTGGTCCAAGATGCCGCTTCGTGGTCCCAGATGCCGCTTCGTGGTCCAAGATGCCGCTTCGTAGTCCCAGATGCCGCTTCGTGATTCCAGATGCCACTTCGTGGTACCAGATGCCGCTTCATGGTTCCAGATGCCGCTTCATGGTTCCAGATGCCGCTTCGTGGTCCCAGATGCCGCTTCGTGGTCCCAGATGCCACTTCGTGGTCCCAGATGCCGCTTCGTGGTACCAGATGCCGCTTCGTGGTTCCAGATGCCACTTCGTGGTCCCAGATACCGCTTCGTGGTCCCAGATGCCGCTTCAGAGGCGAAATCCACGTGTTCCTGTTTGCAAGCGCTGCTTGTCCGATCGGTGGCCCTCGCAGTTCAGCATGAGTAAAACGGCACACGTTTGTTTGAAGCTAACGGCTGTTTCGAGTAATATCTTGCTAAAAGACGCGAATTTTTCGCACACGCTTGTAAACTGCATTACAAGAAATGTATTTTAGCAGCGTACGATCCTTCGCGTTATGTGACGTCACGCAGCGGGCACGGATGTCAGCCACTGACACTGACGAAATTCGGGGTGCAGTTTCGTACACAAGTTCATGAAACGTTTATTTATTTTGGGGCATCATATATCAAAATAAAACTAACGTTTGTTTATATGAAGGCTCCCTCGACGTAACGAGAGCAAAAACTTAAGTACTTCCGGTTTTGATCGGACAATCCCTTTAAATTTTCCACATCCATAGCATTCTGCGTGCTTAAAGCGCCATTATGCTTCTTAGAAGAAATATTAAAAGCTAAAACGTTTCCAATCATTTTATTTCAAGTTAAAGCAATCCGCAGCTGCCTGGTCAAGCACGCCTTTCTGCAAGGTACGATGGCTTCGAGTACGCGTGCGTGGCCGAATTTGACCACGGTGCCTCTGTCAATCGTCTCGTGGAAACATAACCTTTTATCAGTGCTTTCGCGGGATGAAATCCATGAGCTACTGATGTCCAGTGCACATCGGCAACTTTGGCGATTTTTTTAGGAGTCGTTTGTTCGTCGGCGATGAACTGCGCGAAGAGGCTTAGCTGGCTTAACGTTGAACAGATCGCAGCGTTCACGCATATTGCGAGCTGTGAACTATTTCACTATACGCTCCTGCAGCTGCGCGGCGATGTGTCTCAACCCCGGCAGGCCCCGGATAGAATTGCCGAGCTGAACATCACGCAATGTCACGTAACACTGAACTTAGCGAACTCCACGTCGCCCTTGCGTACCCTTGCTACAGTGTACTCTAGGATACAGGATAGTGGTGGGATCGGAGCGGCTAGCGTGAGGCGTGTGGTGTAGATCGCAATAGGTGTCGACACAGACGCATCGGCAGTAGAATCAGTATGGTGGTGGTTGTGCGCGTGCTGCGCGTGCCCGAGCATGCGCGGCTGCACGCGTGTGCGGGCTGCAGCGACTTTCTATTGCCCTGTCCACTGTTCTCTACAGGCGCAGCCTCACAAGCTTCCATGGCCGAGCCGCGCCGGTCTAAACACAACCCCGTATTCTAGTACACTGTACCCTTGCTGCGCCGGTTGAAGTAACCGCCATCTTGAAACTGGTGCTCTCGCTGAATTCGAGATTTATCGAGAACTTCCCGCAAAGCCCGCTAGCCCGCAACGCAAAATCCCCAGCGTTATGCGCGGACGCAATACTCTAGCCCTTCTATTGCGTTCTGCGCATGCTCACTCCCGACCCGCAATTTCTTTGCATAAGTAAAGCTTTAGCGTATGGTTCACTAAAACTGTCCACTTACTGTTAGTAATTTTAGCGTGTAATGGAGAGGATAGAAAGCAAAATTATAAGGTAAGATGCCTTTTTTGAGGCACCGAGGCTAGAAATCATTATGTCATCATTCAGTACTGGTGTACGCAAATAAAGTTGGCGGCAACCTTTTTCTTTTTTCTTAGAATATAATATGTTGTTGTAGAGCAAGCTAACTCTAGAATTCAACGAGTGTTGTGATATTCGCCGGTGGGAACGCAGGTTAATGAGCAATTCCTGAAAAACAATACTTTTTCGACTGCTTTAATAGCCTTCTTTTGTATCAGAGACTTTTCACCAGAAATAAGCGCAGGGCCTATCGGTACATGTATTATTAATTAGTACGCCTACTAATGAAAGCTTGGAAACAATAACACGTAACATGATAATTTGTTTTTAACCTTATTTATCTTTTTCACGCTACTTAATCGCCTGTGAAGTGAAATAATCGAGTAGGCAGGGGCCATTAATATTAAAACTATGTCATTTAAAAGCTTTCATGAACTTGTCAGATCGTTCAAATAAACTGATAAACACCCTTGTCAACAAGAAACTAGTCTTCAACATTGTTACTGTTCGTTTTTCAATGTTTCAATGTTCAAAAACACTAAAGCAGTTAATACATTCGATGATATTTAATATACTTCTTTTTTTAAGTTATGGCGTTTTTTTTTTTTTTGTGCAATGTGATCTAATTCTGGAGGGAAAAATGTAAAGAAATGCGAATGGCAAGTCTTGATGACGCCACTTTAAAATCCCCTGCTACGCACATAGTGAGGGGTTTATGTAGTCTCCTAATAAGAAGTAACAAGGTTCGGGTGGCACAAAGGCCGACATTTCCTAGATTTCTTTGAAATGGAACCTTCGAAAATTATGTTTGCGGGTTCTCTTATTGCAATTAACTTTATCTCACACATAGGTGACGAACCTCTGAGCCCGCTTCTCTAGGTAGGCCGTGCATCAAAGCAAACTGCTGATTTCCATCTGGATGGCAAATACCCGCTCGTGTTATCAGCCGATTTAAAGACATGGGCAGCATTTTGGTGATATGGTGGGCAACACATTATTCCAAATAGAGCCCGTTTGGGACATGCAACCCATTTCCTAAGCTTCAAACGCATTTCTAAATAGACACATTGATGTTTTAACTTTTTTTTTGTTTAATCTGAAAAAACAAAAGAAAAATGAAACGCTCGGTCGCAAGAAGAGCACAATTTTAAATATCCCTAAAACAAAGGTTTGTTTTGCAGTTCGGTATTCAACGTAGTACGCCATTCTAGCAATACGTTACCCTCCGGCGAAAGCTCCACTCGTCGTCGAAGCCGACCCACTGATCGCCTTTGTATGCGAAGGGAGCATAACTGGGACGCGACCAGTCAAGCGTGTAGTTTTCCTTCTTGATGTACGAACAAATCTGTTGACGGAAAAAACAACAACATATGTGTGTTTTTATGCAGGGAACGTAGGTAAGGGTGTATTTGAACGTGCTGCGTACGACATAGAACAGATCTACCATCAGAGATTTACCAACCTGAATAAACACGCGTAATGCTGTTTTTACATCAATACAGGTTGAATGTTTCAACAACTTCATAAAATAAAATAATTTATAAAAAAATGGAAGACGTTTAGAAATTTCTGTAATGCAAAATTAGAGCGCAGCTCTTGAGGAGGAGGGGGAGAGTACGAAGGGAAGGGTATGTCCCTCCTCCTATCCTCCTCCTCTTTCTCTCCTCTTTCTTTTCCTCGTCCAATTCAGTCTCTACGTGAAATTTAGCGGGGAAAATGACGTCACATGACTTTCACGTCACCTATGACCAAATCCAGTTTCTGCGCTACATTTAGCGGAAAAGTTGACGTCATGTGACCTCAACACCAATTCAATTCCCCGCTAAATTTAGTGGGGAATTGAATTGGTGTTGAGGTCACGTGACGTCAATCTTGCCGCTAAACCTAGCGCTGTTACGCTGACGAGGACGCGGACGCCGCTAAACCCGGAAACGAGCGCCTAAAAACTGCGCTCTAAAACGGCAATACAAAAACAAAAAACACTCTACAAAAAAGTCTGTGCGTCTACTTTCACGCACAATACTCGGAGAGCCAATCAGCGCAACCTACGGAGGCTGCTCAGTCAGTGACGATGCGGAAACATATGTTTAGACCAAAAAACGCAGTCTGAGTTGTGACATTAAGCAATGCAAAGGTGACGTTTTGCATTGCTTAATGTCGCAACTCAGTCCGCGTTTTTTGGTCTAAGCAGATTTTTCGGCATCGTCATTTGCTGAGCTGCCTCCGTAAATTGCGCTGATTGGTTCTCCGAGTGTTGTGCGTGAAAGTAGACGCACATACTTTTTTTAGAGTGAGGGAAGAACTTGGAGGACGTTTAAGCTTTGCTTTCAATAGTGGAACGCGATAGCGTTATCGGGCCCCGTTCGCACCGCCCTCTCATTCGCTTCTCATGCTCGGAGACTCTATCGTATCTCCGGATCGTCCTATCGCTGCTGTCACCTCACTTCGGCTTCACGGGCTTGGGTGTAAACAATTACATTCACGCTCGATCCCATGCCGTGCAAGCGTTCCTAGCGTGGCCTATACTTCGTTTCAGCTTCGGTCCGAGCGCGGCCGATGTTATGAGCCGAAGGGTCAATCAAACAGCGCAAAAAGTGCAGCGTCATGGCGTGCTCTCTGCAGTTGATAGGACCAGCCGGTATTTGCCGTCTCTTTGTGCGTGCTCCTCCGCCGGCTAGTCTTATCAAGCGCAGAGAGCACGCCATGACGCTGCGCTTTTTGCGGTGTTTGATTGGCCCTTCGGCTCTTAACATCGGCCGCGCTCGGACCGAAGCTGAAACGAAGTATAGTCAGTCAGTAGCCTGTCTAGCTTGCAACACAAGGGTCGTGGGTTCGAATCCCACCTAATGAATTACTTTATAAAGTGAAATCATTTGAGACATGTGGCGACCTTTAATTCACATTACATGTTACGTTTAATCACTTTCATTCCGCGCATGACGTCACGTTTTACGTGAGCGTTGTGGGTTGTTTGAAATTCCAGCGCGAGGTGACGTGGCCGTCATGACGTGACGTCATAACCCTATTGACCAATCCTGGATTGTAGCGCACGCCACCGACGCCGGCTTTTCTGCGACTCCAGCTCCTTAACGCTCTCGCGTTAAAAGAATATCAATTTGACGAGTTGAAACTACTCGCCTCGAAATATCCCAGTTTTCCAGGCGTCTTTGTGAACTCTCCTGGTTTTCCTAACGGGTTGGCTGAGCTGGCGTCGCTGAGAAGTTCGTGCTTGTTGGGGTCAGCTAGGGTGTATGACGCGCCCAGAAGGGACAGTCCAAAAACCAGTTTGTGAGTGGGAAGGCTTTGAGTGACCCATTTGCCCAAGCAGTCCTCCTGAAAACAACGTGGCGGTCAATCGTGCAGAATGTCGAGATAAGATCTCTCGAATAAAAATTAAAGACGTTTAAAATTCTCTGTAACGCCGAATTAGAGCGCAGCTCTTGAGGAGGAGGAGGGAAGGGTACTGAGGCGAGGGTATGCCTTTCCTTCTCATCCGTACACCCTCCTCATCCACTCCTCCTTCTTTCACGCGCGAAACGCGCGTCGTCACCCGACGTTTCGACGCGGGCCGAAACGTCACGTGACGTTTCGACACGTGACTTCCACCGAAACGTCACGAGTGACGTTTCGGTGCAGTGCATTATGGGACGTTTCTGATAATGCACCGTGCGCGTTACTTCCACCGAAACGTCACGAGTGACGTTTCGGTGCAATGCATTAAGGGACGTTTCCGATAATGCACCGCGCGCGTGCAGAAACGTCACTCGTGAAGTTTCGGCGCGGTGCATTATGGGAAACTTCCCATAATGCGCCGCGTGGTTACGCCGACGCCGACGCCCCTCAAGCCGGAAACGGGCGCCTAAGAGCTGCGCTCTAGAATAACAGAGCATCTCACTGAAGCGAGCGTATGGCTTGGGTGTTTTTGTTTCTTCTCAAGGACACGCCTGAAGCTGAACGATCGCCGAACGAAGAGGCAAGAAGCAAGAATTAAGCGTGAACATACCAATCCACGCCCTTCGTTTCCTAAGCTGTCAGTGTATTTGAAGCGCAGGTTCGTCTGCTTTTTGCACAAGGGATGCGATGATGTCACAATGCCGAGCTCTTATTGGATGAATGAAAAAAAAAATAGTGGGGAGACCTCGCGGCATATAGCATCGAGGTCTACCCACTCTTTTTCACGGGCCGATTTGTCTTGTATACGAATACATGCATGGTATGTTGTGATTTTTTATTCCTTAAAATCTACTTCATTATTCTTTAACACCATCTCCCTCGTAAATTAAAGGGATTTTTGTTTTTGCAAATTTCAGTTTCGGATTGAGAAAGAGCTTCGAAATCCGGACTAACGATCAATGAAAATGTACAGCATTCTCACCGAGTTTTCGCCGCCCGGTTTTTCAAAATGTCTCGTGAAGGGCGGACTGGGCACGTCTACTTTGCCCACGTGACCGGGTTTATAGTGGAACGTCGAAAGGAACACGTAGTCCACCAGCCTGGTCAAATGCAAAACAAGTTCACCCAGTGAGACCGGAGCGCGAACAGGTTTACAAACATCCATCCTTCTTTGTTGAGGCACAGCAGTCTGACAAACGCGGGCACGCCCAGCAAGGTCTGACTGTCTGAAGAAGATCTCCAAGCACCAGCAACAAAACGGTGGTGCCCAGAGGCCGTACTTGTAAGACCACTCATGTCCAGCATGATTTATATATTTCTTTCGATCTTATTACTAGAAATGCGCATGAAAGATTTCAAATGATAAACAAATGGTAAATAAAAATATGTTTTTCATTTCATTTCTTGATAAGTTTCCATCTAAACGAGTATTGGAAAACAATATTAATCTAAAATCAACTTAAATTATAATTTTAAAAGGAAATGTAAATTATATTTTTTTCACAGTTTTTTAAAGTTTACAAAAGAAATGAGATTCCTGGCATTCATTTAAAATGTTTTAGCTATTAATTTACATGTGATCTTACATTCTGTATGTGTGAACTGGGAGATCCTGAGATGACTCTGTTCAACTGAGAAGACCCTTAGTCGGCGAAAGTTATGCAGTGTTAGAGAACCGCGCGTGGCAACGTGAAGTTACTGAAACTTCGTGAAAATTTGTGTAGATACTAATATCTTTCGGCACTTATCTGAACGCAATATGCATAAGAACCCAGAAATATATATGTTTCTGTAGAGTCTCTTCTAAGCTCGGATATAAAATTTAGAAACTGAGTATTGGTATTGCCGTTGTTTAAACACAAGATAAGTAGGTATGCATTTTTAAGCACGTCCTAACAAGTCTTTATTTTGGAACTATCGGTTCGTCATATAATGCTATTCTTGAATGCCAACCATGAAAAATTTGATGTCAATTCTGAATTTAAGAATTTTTTGTTGTAGAGTTAAGTTTTATATTTCTATACAGGTTTCTACCTCTAGATTTTTTACTTTTCCTGACATATGAAACGCACTCTACACACATATCATATGGTTTCTTATGGGTGAAAAGGAGAAGAAAAAAAGGAGGAAGGACATTGGGTGACGATGACAGTGCTTGTTGTAAATTCTTGAACCTAGAGGATCTCTTAAAAAGTAAACACATACTTACTTCGCTATTTTCTTTTTGTATAGGTCGCAATCCAAGCTGCAGGCCGGAAGTGTGATTGTCAGCAGGAAATCATATTTGTCAAATGATTTTTTCAATTCCTAAAAGTATAAAAGCCGACACACACAAAGAAAGTGTTATCCCAAAGTGAGCGTTGTATACTTTTCAGAAAAACTATTGTACGGTCGAGGCTTCAACGCGTACCCGTATGGCTTTGACAACTTAATTCAGAAAGGCAATCCTAATTCATTCCGTTTTATTACCATATGATACAGATAAATATGCCTGTTTTGGTTCCTGTGCGAGAGGAAAATTTAAGAGGGGGAGGAGGGCAGAGGGGAACCGTTCCCCAAAATCCCAAGGGCGACATATTTTTTCTTTAAATAACGGATACATTTATTTTTATATATACGAAATGCTTCGTGCTTGATGAAATGGCCTTCATAATCATCCCTCAAGCTCATATCTCTGTGACGTTACAATTCCTTGTAGAGCCCTTCCACCTCCACACCCCCCCCCCCCTCCCTCACTACCCCGAGCTTGATACGTAAGTTTGTCTGTGATGTGTACCAGTGGGTTAATCCCGATTGAAGCTTTGCATGCTAACTCTTCGGGAACTGTTACCAGATACGCTTAATTATTTTTTGAAACTGAGCAATGCCTAATATGCATTCCTCACCTTTAAAAGTTTCTTCAGAAGGTCGCACTCTTTCCTAGCTCCCCAGTGAATGTTCAGGCCGTCAAACCCGAACTTGAGAAGCTTACTCTCGACACTGTCTACAAAGGCCTTACGCTTTGTGCGGTCTGACAAGAAGGTAGTAGGTACATCTGCTGCAGCGTTTCCGTTGTCAAACGATAAAAGCAGTTTCAACTTTGAATCTTTCTTCTTTAGGCAGTACAGCTCTTTAAGGTCACCTGCACAAAAACCGCCAGGTTAAAAGTGCCGAAAGACCATTAGTAAAATGAAGCGAAGAAGATATGTACATTGCTTTTTTTTTTTTATAGATTCAACTCGCATGTCCTTTGAACACCCTCCGATGTGCCTGCATCTATGGTGCCTTGCAGAGCACAGTAAGTAGTGATCATATATTTTCCTAACATCGACTTTGCAAGTGGAACGTGCGGGTGGTACTGCATTTTAATACCCAAGTAGTTTTACCCCACCAACCTTACCCCCAGAAAAGAGTGATAGGTGTCATCCTGCAATAAATTGCATGGCACTTGTGCCCATTGACAAAGCAATGCACCCAGCAAGAGCAGTGCGTATGGCATTTCTGAATTTTTGTAAGAAATGTCTTGAACAGCTCTAACTTAAGACAACTAAGACGAGTTTGACATTGTGTATCTGTCAGAGAGGATGAAGGGTCTTATAATCGCAGACGTTCGATCTCAAATTGTACCGCGAGGAAATTGATCATTTCTCAGCGTTACTCTGCATACTTATTTTTCCCTCCAGAAACTTCCTTACGGAAATCAAGATTACTGATCGTGTTGTTACGAATAAAACGTATGCTAAGTATATGCTTTATGAAACCTCACTTGGTCTCATATCCCTTCGCTTTTTAGAAATATATTTGTTTCATCGAGAAAAAATTCTCAAAGCCTGTTACCGAAAAATGCTATGCGTGATAATAATGGGTCAGATTTTTTTTAAAATAAAGATGTGTTAAGCATATTTAGAAAATAAGATGCCTCTTTATTACATAATGTGAGAAGCGCACAATATATATACGTCACTTGCCTATCGTCTACGAACTAAAAAAAAAAAAAAGAACGGATTAGCTGGCCGATTTTTCGGTTGAGGAAATGTGAACAAAGCTCTCGAGACATATAGGGGGCGCTAGTGTCTGTCTCCATCGAGGAGGTAATAAGCAAAGCATTTCCTTCCTTACCCGATTGAGGGCGTAAAAGTTGCTTGTTCCACACTTTTGGGGACTATTTTTTTTAAGTAAATCTACACTCTGCACTCTAAAAAATCTGGAGCACATACGTTCCCGCAAATCAATCGAGAGACCCAACACTGCAATCTCCAGAGGCAACTCACTGAATGATGGTCTGAAAACAAGTCTATACCTAAAACAAAAAAAAAAGAATCATCCTCGTGATTCACCGAGTTTCCTCTGGATATTGCAGCCGCAGGCACTCACGGGTGATTTGTTGAAAGTATACGCCCGAAATCGCTAAAAGCGTAAAACATCATGCATTCATGTTTTATATAAAACGCGGTTTTGTTATAAACTCCGGGGTAACTCACCGTTAGCGTCAATGTAGATACTTATGTTGCTGATGAGTTCCCCGGTGTTTGGGTTCGCGCTGAAGTAAGAGTAGACGATATGGGTGCACATTTGGCAGGGAATGCCCTCAATGCTGTAACGTGCCGCGCGTTCCCGTTCGAAAGCCGAGGAATTCACGAAGCAAGCCACTACAGGAGGGACATAGTGGAACAATTCCTCATCGGCCACGTTGTCCACTTTAAAGTTTGTAACTGAAAGAATAAGAAAAAAATATTCACTTCGATTGCACAAAAAATTGATGTCGCTTTCCCAAGGCACCCACCATGTTACTTTTTTTAATTCTATTTTTAAACAATACTTAACAATATTGTTGTTTACGGGCGAGCCGGAGTAACGTTAACGTGAAAACTTAACGTTAAAAGATTCCCGCGTTGGAGTTTTGTAACGTAGCGCTTGTATCTGAGTAGCGCCTCCAATGCAAAAGTATCGGCGAAATTGAAGGCACGACGGCCGGGATTTGATCCCGCCAACTGTACCCTTACCGATAGCAGAAGAAACGTACGTCCACACTTCTGAATTTGCTTTTCGGCGTTTTATTGGCTAATTCCACAATCTCATCGACTGTGTAGGAATAATAAAATCTTCGGGACTCGCCACACCTTGCGTTCAGCGATTAGAGTAATCATAAAATTCGCTGTCAGAAAGAGATATCCCGAAAAAAAAAATTCTGCTCTAAATAATTTGCATGCAAAAGGAGATCTTTCGCTTTACTCGGGGGCAAATCGTTTTATGCTTTTTTGTGGGGTCTGTTTTGAAGTTATTAAATTACACATTTATATTTTATTTTACCCATGGCTTGCCCGATATGATGTAATGAGCATTACTGTGCATAAGCTTAATGAAGAGCAATGCGTTATCATAGTTGTGGACCCTTTTGTAGACTAAATGTAATTGCCAATAATAGTCACACGTCATACTTACCGGATTTTGCGACCCTGGCGATGTCTGGTAGGCAGCTCTGACGCAGGGCAGGACTTGAATGTCGACGACCGGGGTGGAATGGACTTAGCAGTGCAGTTCCTAGCGCTCCAGTCGATATCAGAAACGCCACAAAAACCTCTCCAATCGCCATCGCCCTTCAACGGGACAGAACATTAAACGCGGGATAATATACGGAAGTTGAGATTGTTATCCGTCAGCTAGTTTTTCAATATTACGCGTATAATACCATGCGGAATATTTTACGCTTCGAGTTTTTATATATTGAGGGGTATAATACTATTATAAAGTAATTTGCTATGCGGACAATTTTACGCCTCAAAATTTTATAAATAAATGAAGCGTACCTCGTTCAGTTTTTATAAAATTATTTATACAAAGCTTTAGAGAACGACAACACACGATGAATTCTGCGTTGTACAGCGCGTTATAAGGGTTACAACGATGATTAAGTTATGCATATGCTTTCGAATTCAGAGCACGATTAAGGTTTAAAATGTGCGATATTGACCCCGGTAGCCCACATTCTGTGTGTTTTGGGAACCAGTAGCATAGCCTTCGATGGAAATCTCGGCTCGCACTGTTGTGATAGAAGCAAACATCAATCATTGCGTTGAACGAAGATCAAATTACAGTTGCTGCCAACTTAGGAGACGCGGGCAATGGCTTAGTATGTTTCCGCCTTTTGTTTCATAATTCGTTCTTTTGATTTGTTACCAGGTAATATCCAAAACCTTAACGGCTGCGAAATGATAATAAGGTGCTCGCGGGACTTTCCACACCCTGCGTCTCTTACACTGTCAGCGTCTAGAACATTCTTCACCAAGAGGAAATGAAAATCCTCGAACTAATTTCGCAGTCGCTTATAATTAAATAAGGACCTACCTGAAAGCAAGGTTTGTGGATATTTTTGAACTCGTGGAATGGATCTTTAAACCGTCTCTTCTGGGCGATATAAGCTCACCAACAGAGAGAAAAGCACGCTGAACTCGGAGATATATCAGTGCTTAGTTTTCGTAATTGTGAGGACGGCACAGCGTCGACTACGAACCACGTGCGCCAATGAGATCGCTGGCTTCCGCTCTAATATTTTGTTTTCTTCTTCGAACAGATGAAACACAATTCTACCTGAAATGCGACGTGACATCTCATTCTTGGAGGGGATACACAAATCATGGTTTATAAGAAAACAAATAATCAGAGTGTTTCTCGACTAACCGTATGTGTGCGAACGATCACGGGGCTCTTGCTCAAAGTGAATATAAACATGGCTCCGTGACTCCAGGTGTGCTCAGTTAGGAGGCTATTCAAGCTTGTTCCGCTAATGCGGTTGTTTGTGTGAAGCCTTCGTTTCGTATATTCTCTCTCGTGTTTCCACCTGTCGCGCGTGGATAAAAATAATGTGTGTTGTACCGTTCTTCTAAACCTACATTCCAGGATTAGCGGACGTGTGCTAGCGCAGGCTGCATCTTTCATTGGGAAAACACTGGATGCAAAGCAGAAAGCATATTTGATTGCTTGTGCACTCTTTATAAAATTAACATTCTACTGGATAGTAAATTATTAAACTGTATAATACGAAACTTATAACTTTTCTTAAAATGACGTTTACTATAATAAGGACGGTAACGATTGAAACTATCCCTTACAAAAAATTTATATCTGGCCAGATCTGAAGATTTCAGATATGGCCATATCAAAAATTGGCCACATATAACCTGATATGGTATATCTGCCAGATATAGCCTCATAATGCCAGATATAGCCTGATACCCCTGGCCAGGTATGGAAATCCCAGATCTGGCTAAGTAAGGAAATTCCAGATTTGGCCAGGCATTTCGAAAGGACTCAAGCCTGAAATCGGCACTTTATATCTTTTTATTGTCTACAATTCTCCCAAGTGCCTCGGCCCGCACTCGAGAAGTTATGGAAACGGTCCTAGTGATCACTAGTTTTGACCAATTCCATGGTTACACAGTTTCGAGTGTAATTCGTAGTCACCCTGAACAAGCCTCCCATAGGGATCAAGTACCTGTCATATCACTTTTAAATTTTCTCGTCAATGGCAGCGTTTATGATACTATGCATTCTGTCCAATCTTCAACCAGGCTGAGCCGTCGAAATCTCTTACCGTATTATCATTCTCGTGATTTTTGTTTTAGCAGGAGTTACTTAAAAGCCGAGAAATCACAACAACCAAAACCGGGATTTAGCTCGGATTCAGCGGAGCTGTTTATGACATTTTTAGCGTTCTAACTTAATATATAGCGTCTTTGAAGCTGTGCGAGAATGATAATAATGTAAGAGATATGTCTGCAGCTCATCCAGGTTGAAGGTTGGACGGAATGCACAGTACTGACATTGGCGGAACATTTTAAAAGTGGTATGGCAGGTACTTGGGTTCTGTACGGCACGTATTCAGGCCTGTGACTCCGAATTATACTCAAATCTGTGTAGCCGTAGAATTGCTCGAAATTTTCGATCAGTAGGCAGCTGAAGAAATACCGTCCCCATGATTCGTCGAGTACGGGCCGAGGCGCTTGGGGGATTTATAAAATTGTCTATTCGGGCGTAATGTTAACACTTTGCAATAATTAAGCTACATTGAAATCCTCGTGAAAACTAGCACAAATAATCTCAAACTTAAGCTTGTCAAAGCTGAAGTTTGGGATTATTTGTGCTAATATTTAGCCCGCGAACAATGAGTCATTGAGAGATTGCTAACAAAGAATTTTATTTAACTTTTTTTTAACTTTTTAATATATTGAAAACCGGCCGCCAGATAAGTCTGTATATACGCCAGATAAGTCTGTATATACGCCATATCAGACTGTATATACGCCAGATAAGTCTGTATATACGCCAGATAAGTCTGTATATACGCCATATCAGGCTGTATATACGCCAGATAAGTCTGTATATACGCCAGATAAGGCTGTATATAGGCCGTATATAATCATATAATGTTTGATATGGCCAGATATGGCCCAGATATAAGATTTTCATACGGGATAGGTTACTTGAATCTGACGTAGACAGCGCTTTAACGTTATTACTGCTAGTTGACTGGTGCGCGACCGAAAAAATCCGCCTGGTTTGGGTACTGAACCTGGGACCTCTCCAGTCAATTAATCAGCCACCAATCAGCGTTCGTCTTTATCCTAGAATGAATTCGCTGCCATCTAAAAAAACTCCTTTGTGAAGGGTATCTAATTTGGAGGTCCCGCTTAACTAATAAACATTCTTGCTTGTCACATCCTAGCCTTAGCAATATTCTAAAAAGAAAGATCACTCTTATTTGTGCTCCTGCTAACTACACTGTTTCGGGAGCCGCGTACGTTTAAGCCCGATGTGATAGTTTCAGAATGTTTTTTTTTTTAACATTGTAATGGAACAAGTTGTTTTTGGTTTTTATTTTTATCATACGTTGTAATTTGCACCCAGAGGAAAGGGGTCGTATTTTGTATAAATGTATATTTTGTCCTCGCATATGTCATTCAAAGTGTGCATGTGTGACACTCTTCTTTTGTTATTTCTTGTTTAATTGCGATAACAACCACGAGGCAACACATATATTTGGTATACAAATAAAAATTTTGTTCAATCCTTTCTCTTTTTTTTGGGGGGGGGGGCAAAGCATTTTTTGTTATACAAATAAAAGTTATGCTCAATCCTTTTTTTTTTTTTTGGCAAAACATTCATTCTTTTTCTAAGCATATTTTGTTTCGTAGAGTTTATTATCTGACAAGTGTTACGCTTAGTGGAAAAAAGTCCGCGGAAATATAATGCGTGAAACGCTCTTCTTTTTTTCGCTCCGGAAGGTCCTCCTGTCTTTTGTGTTCTATTCAAGATCCCTGCCGAACAACGCAACCTTCGGGTATTATGTCGGTGGGGACTTCGTAGTCGCCGATGGTGGTATTGATCACTCTTGTAATGGGGAAATCGCTGCCGCTGCAATCGCCGCAGTAGTCGTCCAAGTCTAGAGACCACAGGAATACACCACCCAGCTTGTTCTCCTTGGTAAAAGAAACCTAGGAAGACAACAAAAAATGGCATTTTTATGCTAGTTCAAATGTTTTCACCATATTATTATAGACAGAGAATAATTTTACAGTATGCATGCTGGAGTCCTATGTATTTCGTTTTGCATAGTTGTGTTATTTGAGTACATGAGTAAATATTTCGGAGGTATTTGGTCTTTTTCGCTCCGACGTAGACCAGTAGGTCCGCCTCATATTAAATAAAAAATATAAATAAATCAATAATATAAATTAAAAAAATCAACTTCTGACACTAAAAAATGACATTAAAACTAAAATTTTGTTTTGTCATAAAAGAACCTCTGCTTCGTGTAAGGTTTTTGTTATTATTTGGTGAACCTACGAGAATACCTTCAGGAAATATGCACTTACCTTTTTGCGGATACTGTCGACGTCGTCATAACCTATCCACTGATCCGAGCAGTACGCAAAAGGTGTCTGGCTGGCAGCATTCCACTCTCGTGTAAAGCCCCTATAATTGAGGTACCTGCAAATCTATCGAAAACGTTCCTAGTTCTTATTCTTACAGTTACCATGCCTACCAAGTTGCAAGCACATTTCAAGCAAGCTGCGTTTGAGATTTTGTTGTGTTCGTCCGTTTTTTTATCGTTCCCCATCTCAGGTTTTACAAGATGTCGATTGATTACCAGCTCGCCTGCACTCTCTCACTGCTTACAATTACAAGCAAGCATTAGGGATTTATTTCAGATACCAAGCAGGCACGCAAGATTTATTTCAGCGGCCATGCTACATCCCACCAACTCGTTCATTCACAAAGGTGAGGTTAACGACATTCATATATTGAGGTCCCCAAAAATGCAGGTCCCAATGACATTAAACAAAATATTTGAAAGAAAGTGCTTGGTTATAAAATGGTTTATAATGAACGGACCAGAATATTGACGCTGTTATCTAATGACAATTCTCTCAAACGACGTTAAAGGTTGTTTTTTTTTATTTTTCCGCACGGTGTATGACACGACATTCGATCAAATGCAATCTTTGTACCCAACAATCTTCGCGAAAGGGGCCTCGTTTCGCGAAGCCACAGATGTCTACTCTTGTTGTTAAGAGCACAGAAAAAAATCTATTATTTTTGTTTTGCAGTTAGCCAATTGAAATTAGCCAGTTTAGCGAATAGTTTAAGGACACTAAAAATGAGTATATGTAACCTGCGGTTTTTTGACCGAAGTTACCAGTTTTGGCAAAACTTTTTAAGACCAAATTGTCCATATTTATAAAACGTATGGTGCAGTTGTTATATTATATTATATTTATTGGTAGACGAAGGCAACTATAGGTATGACAGAAAGTGTAATAATAATAATACATATATCATTAGAAGCCAATACAACATCTGAAATATACTTTCTTCATCAATCGTTTAACGTACTCACAACCTATTTAAACCACGAGGATTCACGCAGTAACTCGTTTCATATATTTTTCGTTTTTATTCCTGTTCGCAGTGTGGTACCGCAGATGCAAAATAGGAAGGTGCCTGGGAAGACGCACTCTAACACACTTGATTTGCAACAGGATGCAGATCAGTTTTTTTAGGTAACGAAAGCATAAGCGTTAAAAACAAATTCAGACACGGCCCTCGTCAAAATTTTTATATATCAGAAATGTTTTGGTTCAATAAACCCATTTTATCAAATAAGATCATATAAGAGCATATAATGACCTTTTAAGAACATATAAGATTAATGTAAGGTTATGTAAGAAGTTACAAGAAACTTCTTACCTGTTCCTTATAACTTATATACTCTAGTATGGTTATTATATGTCCTTAAATGATCTTATTTGATTATATTTCTGTGGATTTACGTAGCCGAGGATACAATATCATGCTGTTGGGAGTCCACAGTATATGAAAAAATAGAATGGCGGTGTGTTACGCGTACGTAGGCGCTCGCACCATTACTGAATACTTTACTGAAAGTGTGAAACGGCTTCGAGAATGTTATAAGGTGATATGTAGTGACTTGGAGTGGTTGCCAGTTTTGGACGAATTGGCAACCTTAAAGTGCTTTTAACTTTACTCATCGTGGCCTCCAACCAAAGAAATAGTTGAGAGTCATTTCAACATCACGTGTACCTGTCGTTTGATGCGATAATGTCAATGTTTTTTTTTGTCTCGACAGCATTCATATTATGTAGATCCTGCCATTGCAAACTGGAAATGAAATAATGAAAAAATAAAAAAGCTTACAAAGCTGAGTTGGAAGCACCCTTGGCTAACATGCAGGTGGCTCGGGTTCGATTCCCGGCAGTGCAGGTCCTTTTTTATCTTCCTTTTTGTATGTAGAAGATTCAAGAAGGCTGGAGAACCGTCTAGGCTGTTCATGTTCAGAATGTGCAGTTTGAGAAGGATTGAAACAGAATATTCTAAGCTCCCGGGGAATGCTTAAAAGAAACTGCACCACGCCATACAAAGTAATCTTTCGCCTGCGCTCGGTCCCGCCATTATGCCGCCATCGGAGTCTGTTATCTTCCGCTCAATCTTATTTAGTTTGGGTGGAGGTTCGCCCTCTGAAACGTTTAGTTCGCTTCAGTATTTCGTCGAATAATCAATTGCCCTTCGTGACAATAAGCTCGTTTCGTGGACCGAGAAATTATTTTATATAAATAAGGTCTTTCGCTAGGGAATATATTTCAGTAGCAAAACTTAAACATTACTATCGAAATCAAAGTCCCTGTGTAGTTCAATAGCAAAACATAACTACTATAAACAAATTCAGCCACTGCATGTCACAACTGCAGGTACAACAGCAAATATTAAAAAACAACACCTGAAAGAAACACAATACGCATCAAGCGTTAAATATAGTGCATTACTACAGTAAACACATAACTTGCTTTCTAGGAAGACATCCATTCGTAATCATACATATATGACATACAAGGTCTAACTGATGAACCCCAGTTTGTAATGAGACATGTTCCACTAACCTCAAAGTACGCCAGCATACCCTTCCGTCTCGTGATTTCACCGGGAAGTCCTTTGGGATGGTTCTTGTACGCGATACTAAGTATGGCTTTCTCCTTTGGATCAGCCAGGGTAAACGTCTTGCCGAAGGCGCTCATTCCAAGGACCAGTTTGTACTTGGGGACCCCAACGTCAACCCAAGAGCCAGTGCAGTCCTCCTAATGCCGACACAATACTCTCGATTAACGAGATGCTCTCCGTGCAATACTTCATTCGAGTAAACTGTTCCCAACCTCCTAACACAATCTATAAAAGTCACATTGATTGAAGCCTTAAATCAGCAAGATATTACTTAAGAGTCGCTACATAAAAAAGCGTAATTTGCTTGTATTTCCGAGTGGACGCTCATAATAAGACTCGTATTTTAATGTGCATTCATACGAGTAAAACATATAAGCTCCCATATATAGGTTTTTAAGGGGTCTCCCGGAAACAGCCTGCGACGTTGTTGGATGATCGTTTGTCTAATCAAAGCTACACTTTGCATTCATATAAACGTTGGTTTTGCTAATTTACAACCATAGTTATTACCATCAAGCCGAAGTGTGAAGCTCTAAAAAATTTCAAACAAAATATGTATTTGAAGTTTTCGATAAATTAACTTTTCGAAGTTTAAACCTTGCTCGATTGTGGCAATTGTGTGCAAAGTTCATAATGCGTACTAGCTATTGGGCTAAAGAAAAAGCTGTATAGAAAACAGCTATTTATATCTCCAGAGATATGTCTCCAATCACGCGAATAATGATTTCTTTTGTTTGCGCGATCATTGCTTGAACCTTTGATATTCGTTGAAGATTTTTTTTTTTTTTGCCGGTAAGGATTATGTCGACAAAAAAATAATACCTCACGCTGATGCGTTGGCAACGCTAAATACACACACACAAAAAAATTAAAACTGCGGCGTTTTACCCGTTTCATGTATATCGTCTATATAATGCAGGCTATAGTTTTGTTTGCCGAAGTACAAAATATGCTCGTATTACTTATTCTCTTTATTTTCTCCACCTTTTCTAAATTCCAATAAAAATTATTTCCGCATTCACGTAAAATATGTGGTCAATGCGTTGCTAAATCTGTAATTCTGTGTTTTACTAATATTTGTTGTAGCTACTTAATGACCGCTTTTCCATATCCTGTACGGTATACAATGGGCCCTCCCGTACAAACTGCGCATGTTCCACCACAAAGGATTCGCGTTTGAGCAGTTCATACCACGCGGCGCATCGTACCCTATCGGATGTGCAAAAACGGTTCCCCAAACTCCATATTACCCTAAGCCCCCGTCGCATGCAGGGGGGTAGAATATAGTTACAGTTGCGCACACAAGGACAAGGACAGAGAATAAGAACACGTCCTTGCCCTTGTCCTTGTGTGCGCAACTGTAACGTGTTCAAGATCTACCAACTCGCCCAACTGTCTACTCTACTATATGGGGTAGAATAGTTCAACGGACACAATTTTTCTTCACTAAATGTTACTAATTGCGTGTCACTGGTGCCTGTTTGGCCCGTGCAGTCTCGCGAAAGCTGCCTTTATTTTGGTTCGAACAATATCCCTTCAAAGCCACGATAACCCTCCGTGTTCTTCCGAAGCTTACCGTGTTTTCTTTCTGCGTTGCCGGCGAGTCAAAGGATCTCCAGTACAGCTGGCTGTGTACGTCTGTCAGGTCGAGGTGTGTCGATCGGTAGTCGTACGTCATTAGGAACACGTAGTCGACAAGCCTGGAGGTGCACAATGCCAGCCTGTTACGAACACAAAATTCTGGCCGGCCCCAGTTGTAGCAGTAAATAACACCAGACAAGTGATCATATAGGAACAAGGTTGCTGATTAAGAAAAAGAAAAAGATGAAAAAAAAAACGAAGTAAGTATTTGAAGGACGTTTCAAAACTAATAAATTATGTCGACGGAAAGGAAAAAAAAATTTGCACAAAAAGCGGAAAGTGAGTAATAAATATAAATTATAAAAGAGAAAACGTTCCTCAATGCTGTTTATAACAAACTAAACGAATATATATTATATATATATATATATTCGCGTTATATATATATATATATCAGTGTGTCGAACCGAAAAAAATACGGGTTCGGTTACGGTTCAGGTTCAGGTAAATTCATTTTGTTCCGGTTCAGTTCTGGTTCGATTAATTCGATCCGCGAACCGGTTCGCGAACCGGTTCGGAAGTTATAAATGACAAATTGCAACATCAAAATAAATTACAAATAAAACATCTGAAATCAGCACATACGAAATGGGATACATCGTAGTGTAAGGCTCGGGGATTTCTACCAGGAATGGTTTCTTTATGTGCACTCAAAGGTTACCTCACCGACGTTTACGCATTCGGACTTCATCTAATTGGGTCCGACGCAGTAGCTGTGAAATCCGCGACCTCCTTACAAGCCCACTTACAAGTAGAACTCGCTAACTATCCCGCCACCTCAGCGTGTAAGCAATTGAAGGAACAGTGGGGAGAAAATACAGCTTTCTTTATTTGAACTAGCCTTCGGTAACTCAAATTAGACCCTTAAAGAAGTTTTCATTAAACAAGATACGGAATATGAAGAACACTTCACCGAACGCAACGCCAGAA